TGGCACCACATCCGTATACTTACTGCGCAGGGCCTCCAAGGACTGGCAGAGGAGCAGGTGGACCATGGCGCAGGCGTGAGAGCATCCCGCCAATATGCCCTGCGCGGAGGTGAATTTGGTGGACAATGACCCGTAAGCTCGCACCTGCCGTGGTGCCTGATATGTGTGAATCAGCATCCAAAGTAATCTCATCGGAAATTGCATCTTACTAGCCCTGTCAAGCAGCGCAGTAAATCGTATCGTCTCGAAACACTTGTACATGTCAATAAGTGCACTGACCGTATGCATGCCATTGAGCTTCGCCGTTTCTGCAGCTATGTTGTGTTGAAACGCAGCATCGGTAGAAGTCGCACCAGGCCTCGTGCCCCAAAAGGCGGTAGAAGGGTTGGCGAGCTCCCACTGCTTAGAGATCCGTCGTCGTAATCGGCTCCAAATGCGGACCACAGTATAGATGAGCGCGATGAGGCGGTGGCCCCCCGTGGGCTTGGGAAGCCTCACTAGGACCGTGGTGACCCTCTGCGTCGGCCAACACGCCAACTTCTCGCATTGCTGGTAGAGAGATGCAAGGACGCCCAATCCCATGTCCGATACTTGGGTCAATGCACGCGGTTGAATCGATACCTGCCCAAGCGCCGTGGTGGCTTTGAATCGTCTGAGGGTGTTACGAATGTCGTCGATTGTGATCTCGGGTAACTCCTCCCAATCTGCTTGAACTGCCGGCGCGGCGACCGCTCGATCCTCATGAATGGTCCAGACACCCTTCCAGAACTCCAAGCATTCATCAGCCATGTGGTGCGGTTGGCCACGGTCCTTCTCGGCATGCTGCAACGTCTCTTGTAGTTCACGCACTCTAGTGTATCTGTGCGCTTTGCCAGCCCCATTCTGAAACGCTTGCATGGCCCACTGCGCCCATTCAATGCCAGCATACTTGCGTATGGCCTCCGACACGCGACTCACCTTGTCAAGCGCTCGGTCGATCCTGTCTAGGAAGTCAGGCTCATAAAACGTGTCGCGGTAACTGTGGAGCTGGAGTCGATCTTCGTAATCAAGCAGCGGCCCAACCCAGCCAGTACGTACTACCCCCGCGAAGAATCCCTGAAGATCCCGACTGAGTTGTGCCAACAACCGCTGCTCCTTGAACTGACCCTGGACTGGGCTACCTAGGCTGTTGACGTACTGCCCGTGCTGGCCGTAAATGTCTGGCAATAGCCTTGCGGGAAAACGGTTCGCATCTGCCTCCTCCATTACGCGCTGGAGGGCCGTAGACATGCGTGTGTGCGTGGAGCGCAGATGCCGACACCATTTGCCATACTGCTGGTAGGCGCTCAACCGCTTGGGCCTCGGTGGTACGAGGGCCTGTACTCGTTTCCATACCCATTGGTCGGGACCAGCTCGGCCGTGATGAAGTCCCCGTTGCGTTATGTCCATTATGTCATTGCGGTTGAGGATCTCGTGTTCCATAGTGGTAATGGCACCATCCCACGCCGCAGCCAAAGTCACACCGTCTGAAGCTTGATCAATGAGCTGCTGCACCCGTGCCCATTGCCGCGCGGGTGGGAACCTGGCACAGCCCACTTTCGGCACCGTCGGGAGTGGACGTGGTGTAACAGGGACGCGTGCCCACTGCTCATGTGCGCAGTACTGAAACCCCAAATGCACAGGCTGATGCGGGAAAGTCGCTGCCACTCCGACTTCGCATCCGCGAATCCAATCGACCAGGGCAGCAGAGACGCAGAAATAATCCCTGGTAGTGCCTGGTTGCGTGGCATTGCATGTGGGTTGTGCTGGGACCTGCTGAACTCCGTGTACCGAGTGCATCCAGTCCAGTGTGCTCGCTGGGTCCATGTTCCAGTCGCCTGCCACAATCCATGGCTGTCCCAACCCATTGAGCGCCTCCAGGTATTGAGCCAGCGTGGTAAGCAGATCCATATTCTCTTGATTGAGCCCCACCGAGTCGACCAAGTAGATGGAGACCACCACTGTGCCTCCCCGTGGTCCCCAGCTGGCGTGTCCTACCGTGATTCGGCCTGGCGCGAGAGTCGATGAGGTCAGCAGAGGCCCCATTCCAAGCCGCACATGTTTCGGTGCCAGTATAGCACATCCGCCGCAAGTGCCGCCTCGGCCCGTGGGTGCGGCCACAGTCCATACGCCATGAAACCCGTGCTGGCGCGCTGTGTTCTGGAGCTCAGGTAGGCGCTGCTCGTCGCCGTGATGCTCCTGCAGGCAGAGGATAGACTTGTAGCTGCATGGCGCACTCAAGACTCCAACCATAGCTCCATGGGGCGTAAGGTTGGAGGTGGGGACCTGGTTCACGTTGGGGCCTTTGGCGTGCACCCCCTCGAACAAGCACACGACCAGAGCGAAGCATAACCCCCGATAGCGGCCAGGGCGGAAGCGACGGGGGCGGCCCCATGTTACGGGACCGCGCGCACGTTCCTGCAGCGTACACTGCGAAGAGGGAGTGGCAGCGCATCGTGAGCTTGTGCGGCGACTAGCGGCAGCGGTGCTGGGTCCCGTTGGCTCCCGAGGCGCGGACCTTGGGGAAGGTCGGACGACTTTAAAGCCCGCATCCGCGCGGCTACCAAGGGAGCCCGTCGACAGCACTTGCCCTAGCCGGCCGCTGTGGTACCCTATCTTCAGCTGGATATCGTAATTGAAGTTGGTGGCCGTCCAGAACTTCACAAACCAGAAGACTAGCACGAACTCTGCCAGGTAGGAGAGGACTCCCCCAGCCTGCGTACCTGAGCACAGGCCCGCAGACTCTCGCACTACATCTGTTCTGTCATGAATTTCAGGCTTGGCCCGTGCGCTGCCGTTTGGCCTGAAGTGTCTCCATCGCGATGGCCATCCGCTTGATGGCCTCCCTGACCTGCGCCTCCTCCTGCGGGGGGTCCTCGCCCGTGGCGTTGCGCAGAAACTCCCGCAACTCATCCAGGTCGTCGGTGTCCATGGGAACTGGCCTGGCTTGTGCCGCTTGCTGCTGGCCCGCCGTCGGCATACTTGCAGGTCCGCTGGGCGCCGCTGCACTGGAGCTGTCTCCTGCAGGTTGCCCTGGTGCTGGCGAAGCGTCCGACCCTGCTGCAGCTGCCTTGTCCGCCAGCGCCCGCAGCTGGCTGAAGACCGTGGCCACCGACTGCGCCAGCTGGTCGTCAGCGCCCAGGCCCTGGAGCATCTCGCCCATCTTCTCGACCGAAATGTCGACCGCGGGCACGAGCGTGCGCAGGGAGCACTCGCCAGGGGCAGCAGTTGGTGCCTTGGCCGAGACTTTCCAGCGCAGCGCCTCCAGCTCTTGCACCTCGGCCATGATCTCAGCGATCTGGCCTTCCGTCTCGGCAATCCTGTCGTCCAGGCGCTGGCGCTGCTCCTGCAGGTCCTGCAGCGCTGCCTGGCGCTTGTCCTTCGCCTGCCCGAGCGCATCGATGCGGGTGGTGTAGTGGTGGAGCTGGCCCGCGTAGGGCTTCGCTTCGACGATGCGCAGCTTGATGGCCTCCCGCTCCTTGGACAGGGCCTCCCGCGCGCCCATGATGGCTGGGTCGGTGCTTGAGCCCAAGGCACGGAGGAGCGAGGCAATCTCCGCGAGCCGTCCCTGAGGGTCGTCGGCATCGTTGGCGTCCTCGTCCACAGCAGGGGCGTTGGCCGCCTTGAGCTGCGCCTTGAGCTGTGCGATCTCGCGGTCCTTGGCCGCCACATCCGACCAAGGCCGCACACTGTCCCCTTTGCGCCGCACACTGGACGTGGCTGGCCTCTGACTTGGCGGGCCGTCGGTGGGCTTGGGGCCTCCGAAGCTGGCCCCCTTAGCGACGCGACAGCTGGTACATTGCTGGCAATCTCCACGATTCCACCACTTGGCTCCTGTGCGCGGGTGCGTACACCAGCGGCAAAGCCAGGGGGCGGCCCAGGTCCTGCGATCCGAGACGGCTGAGGTCTTGTTCGCGGCAGCGGCATGCGAAGAGGAACCATTAGCCATGGAACGCGGGGTACAGTGTGAGCAAAACAGCGGTACTTTCTCGAGGATGTGTCGAGGATGTGTGCCTGGCGACAGGCGAAAGCAGTTGGGGGCCGTGAATCCCCCCCGCCACTCGTCAAGCCCTGAGCCTCACGCTACGGACTTGAGCCAAAATGGCTACGGAGGAGGAGGAGGAGGAGGAGGAGGAGGAGGAGGAGGAGGAGGAGGAGGGAGGAGGAGGAGGAGGAGGAGGAGGATGAGGAGGAGGAGGAGGAGGCGGAGGGGAGGGGGAGGAAGGAGGAGGAGAGGAGGAGGAGGAGGCGGGAGGAGGAGGAGGAGGAGGAGGAGGAGGAGGAGGAATAGAAGGGAGGAGGAGGAGGAGGAGGAGGACGAGAAGGAGGGGAGGAGGAGGAGAAGGAGGGGGAGGGGGAGGGGAAGGAGGAGGAGTATATGAGGAGGGAGGAGGAGGAGAGGAGGAGAGGAGGGGAGGAGGAGAGGCAGGAGGGGAAGGAGGAGGAGGAGGAGGAGGAGGAGGAGGAGGAGGAGGAGGAGGAGTGGAGGGGGAGGAGGAGAGGAGGAGGAGGAGGAGAGGAGGAGGAGGAGAGGAGGAGGACGAGGAGGAGGAGGAGGAGGAGGAGGAGGAGGAGAGGGGGAGGGGAGGAGGGGGAGGGAGGAGGAGGAGGAGGAGGAGGAGGAGGAGGAGGAGGAGGAGGAGGAGAGGAGGGAGGAGGAGGGAGGAGGAGGAGAGGGGAGGAGGGGAGGGGGAGGAGGAGGAGGAGGAGGAGGAGGAGGAGGAGGGGAGGAGGAGGAGGAGAGGAGGAGGAGGAGGAGGAGGAGGAGGAGGAGGAGAGGAGGAGAGGAGGGGGGGGGAGGAGGGGAGGAGGAGGAGGAGGAGGAGGAGGAGGAGGAGGAGGAGGAGGAGGAGGAGAGGAGGGAGGAGGAGGGGGAGGAGGAGGGGGAGGAGGAGGAGGAGGAGGAGGAGAGGGAGGAGGAGGAGGAGAGAGAGGAGGAGGAGAACGAGGAGGAGGAGGAGGAGGACGAGGAGGAGGAGGAGGAGGAGGAGGACGAGGAGGAGGAGGAGGAGGAGGAGAAGAAGGAGAAGGCCCTCTCGGAAGGCTCCGGAGGCCCCCGGCCTTCCGAGCAGTGCTCTGCGCCTTCTCCAGGAAACCGTCTCAGAGGGCACGAGGGCTTCTGACTGTGTGGCATCCTCGTTGGACCTCGTCTGTCCCGTCGCAGCCCTATGCGCATCTGATCCACGTCGGACTCGTCGGATCCGCGTCGGATCCGTGTCGAATCCGCGTCGGATCCGCGTCGAGTCCGCGTCGAGTCCGCATCGAGCCCGCGTTGGGCACAAGGAAAGACACCAATCTTGGAGGACAGGCGAGGTCCCCCAAAGATGCAACGTAACTTCTGAGAAGTCCCGCCGCCTTCTGGAAAGTCCCGCCTCGATCTCCTCCACCTCCTCCTCCTCCTCCTCCTCCTCCTCCTCCTTCTCCTCCTCCACCTCCTCCTCCCCCTCCTCCTCCTCCTCCTCCTCCTCCTCCTCCTCCTCCTCCTCCTCCTCCTCCTCCTCTGCCTTTCCCCCCTCGCTTGCCGCCGACTCCAGCGGGGCCAGAGCCCGCGGCATCTCGGCAGGACGCCCACGGGCCTGGAGCGCCTCCAGCGGGCGCGCCACCCCCGTGGCCCCCGATGCGGTTGCCGAGACTCGTACAGCTCCACAGATCCATTTTGCCTGGATCCGACAACGGGGATTTGCAATCCATAAGATCGAGGCGAACTAACGTGTGTGTCTGACGTCTGGCGAGTAGGCACTTTGCGAGTAGTGCAGCGCGCTCGGTGATCCGCGCGGATCTCTCGGCTCGGCGCCGACCCCCCCGTCACGGAGCGCTCAAGGGAGCGGCGCCGGAGGCGCCGCCAGGGAGGGCAGGCGCCGAGGCAAGATCCGCGCGGAGCGCCACGAGTTGATGTTTACTGTCTTACATAGGCCAGAAGAACATCCTTCAAGAACATGGGACCCTTCATCGGCCCAAACACAGAGAACATCAAAGGGCACCTCCCCAGGATGCACAAGAGCATCCAGCTAACACGAAAAACACCAGGGTACCCTCCCGGACCGACCTCGATCTCATACCTCGGTCCGACTGTACAAGAATCGTCAAAAATAAACTCACACGCCGTTCGAAATCGTGACCCTCGATAGCTCGGGCATGTTTCTGATAGCGCATTACTCGATACTGTTGGGGGTGTTGCCGGATCTCGAAAACCCCTGCGTCTGGGCCGAACATCGCATGCCAACACTAAAATGGCGCCGACCACACAAACACCGAAACCAAGACTCGTCAGTTCATGCTCGACGAGCCCTGTCAGAGAAGAAGAAAGAACAAACACACATAACTGTCGGAGGTCCGTGCGGACTTCTCGGAGCGGCGCTGGCCCCCCCTCCCCTGGCGCGCGGAGCGCGCCACACGGTCGGGGCGTCCAGCGCCGACCAGCAGAAAAAGCGAGGACCTCCGAATGCTCGTGAACGTCTAAATCGCTTACAGTCGCACATCGCGCTCGGCGATGCGCGCCGCGCGATTGCCTTCGCGCCCTCGCGTCCTCGCGCCGCCCCCTCCCTGCGGAAGGGCAACCGATCTGGCCCAGACAGCGACCCCGCCACCGCTCGGACGTCCACTCCCCCGTGCACCTCTCGGCCTGGCGTGCTGACTTTCGCACGATGCCCCAGGCTGCTCTCCTCGACGGCCCTCGCCGAAACAAAAACGCACCAAGGGCTCCCAACTTCGCGCTTCGCGCTGCGCGAAGCGCGAATAGCTTCGCGCTCTCGCGCTGCCCCCCCCAAAGGGAGAAAAGGAGGACGAGGAGGAGGGGGAGAAGGAACGAGGACCGCGAAGCGCGAATAACTCCGCGCCCCCGTGGGAGCCCTTGACGCACACGTCCGAGCGATGCCAGGCGACGCGCGACGCGCGATTGTCTCTGGGCCCCTGCGGGTGACCCAGTGTTCGGTGGCGACTCACGCGAGCCTCCCATACCGTCTTGTCGGCTCTTGTGAATCGACGCTGGTCGACGCTGAAACGACTCTAATCGACGCTGAGTCGACGCTCACCGACGCTAGATCGGCACATCGCATCGACTCCAAGACGTTAATCGACGCTGAATCGACGCCGACGACGGCATCAAGAGGGTACGCCAGGCTCCCATGACATGCTACCGAGCCAGTGTGCGCAGCCTGCTTTTCTCGAGAGGGCGCGCAAACATGGATTAGAGATCCATGGATTTCGCGCACGGTCGCCAAATCCATGGATCGGGGGAGGTGCCCTGCCCAAAATGCGGCCGGTGCCGCCTCGCTGGGCGGCGGAAACCCGCGATCTCCCATGGAAACGGGACCCGTCGCTAATCCACGCCGCCCTGACATCCATGCTTGCGATCGCCTGGCCTTCCCCGACAGAAGTTCCGCAGCTCGGGCAGCGGCCCGAGGACCTCTGCCGGTCCGGCAGCGCCCTCGCCCCCTGCGCGCGCGACCGCCGGAGGACGCTGGCGGCGGCGCCGCGGCCCGGGCCCGATCCGAGGCGAGCGCGCAGCGGCCGCCGGAAGCACCGCCTCCTCGTCGCGAGGGTGGGGCTGCGCGAGGACCTGCGAGAGTGCGCGCTTACAGCGGAGGGCAGTCCACAGAAGACCTTCCACACAAGAAACCCACCCCTGAGGCCCCAATACGTCTAACTTGATCTCTGGCGTGGGAGCGTCACCCTGTCTATAGCAGATCCATCGAAACCCACGAAACCCAGGGCGCCCTAGAGGCGAGCAGGGTGTTTCTCGGCATGGGCCTCCACTGAACGCTTGTGCAGCTTGTTCCTGCTCCGGAGGGAGCCGACGGGACTGTGTTCAGCAAAGCAGCGGCGTTCCTCGCTGGTGGGAACACCGAGTTCCGCAAGGAAGTCACCGACTCCTGCCAGCATCGACTGCGACGATCCGCGGAAACACCACCTGCGATGAAGACAGGTCTGCGCAATGCCCTGGATGTGTGCGCGGAACACGATGGAAACTCTGCACATCTTCGTCACTCGTGCCGACTGACGGCCAGGGAGTGGCTCGTCTCCGACGTCGTCGCGCCCTTCTCCTTGGCATTCCACTGGACCAGCATGCATGCAATGTCGTCGCAGTAGTCACCGCAGACGTGGGCCCACCGCTTCCGGCTGGCGCCACTCAAGAAGTTGACGGTCTCCCTGGGCCCCTTGAGGCGCAGCTTCTTGGCCGAGAGCTCCACCGCGTCCTCGTAGTTGATGAACTCCCAAATCCCGTCCGAGGCCAAGACCATGTAGACCTCGTCGGCCGGCTGGACGGATATCCGTTTGTACTCGGGCTCCCGGAGCACCCCGCTGCAGGCGAGGTCCCCAAAGGCTCGGGACATGGTGAGGCCTGGGAAGTCGGATCCCGGCTGACAGCCAGAGTCGACGATACGAGCGAATAGCCCAATGGGGGTGGTCCATGTCTTCCGCGAAGGTCCCAGTGAGACGTTTATCGGCGGCGAGCGAGGTGGGGAAGTGAGAAGAAGGAGAAGTCCTTCTCGGCGGAAGGCGGTGGAACTTATCAAAGTCCTCGCGCCTTCTGAGAGGCTTTCCACGTCTTCGGGGAGCTCAGAAGGCCGGGGGACTTCTGGGCCCCCTCTCTCTTCCCGCCCTTGCTCGCCGCCGACTCTCGAAATATTGGCGGCGCGCAGAGGGGGGTATAGAGGGAGGGGGAAGGCCTCTCCGAAGGAGGCCGCTTCTTGGAAGGCGCTGGCCCTGCATCTACGGACACGGCCCGCGCCTTCTGAGGAGAAGCCTCCGACCGAAGAAGCCTTTTCCCCCATCCCCCTCCCCCCCCTGCGCATGGCGAAAAGTAAAGGGGCCCAGGGACACACACGAATAAATAGGCACACATCCCATGATTCCGCATATTTTTCCACACGTTCTGGGCTTCCGTCTTCACCCCCACTTCCCATATTTCCCAATAGTTTCCTGGGAGTCCACGATCCGTTGTGTCTGTGCTTTTCCCCTCCCGAGAGTGCAACCCCCGCCCCTGGGCTGCTCGCCCCTCATCGTCGCCTCCAAGATAGATGCGCCAGCTGTTCCTGCCCACCTCGCGCACCTCGCTCCCGGCAGCCTCGAGCCTCGCCCGCTCCTCCGGCAGGTTCGGCGTGTGGTCCCGCGAGCCGTAGATCAGGCGAGAGTCGTGCCTGCTGTACGATGCCACCATGATGCCAGCATCTCCGATGTGCGCACAGTGCAAGTAGAGGGAGGAAAGAACTGCATCTACATAAACGCTTGGAGCTCCGCTCCAGAAGCGCGCTCCACTGCTCGCAGGGTAACTGCTCGCACATGGCCTGGATCCGACAGAGGGGATTTGTAATCCATAAGATCAAGGCGAGCTTACGTGTGTTCTGACGTCTTGCGAGTAGGCACTTTGCGAGTAGTGCAACGCGCTCGGTGATCCGCGCGGATTTCTCGGCTCGGCGCTGACCGCCCCCCGTCACGACGGAGCGCTCAAGGGAGCGGCGCCGGAGGCGCCGCCAGGGAGGGCATGCGCCAAGGAAAGATCCGCGCGGAGCGCCACGAGTTTATGCTTACAGTGGGACCTAGGCCAGAAGAACATCCTTCAAGAACATGATTCAAGAACATGAATGCCCAGGATCATTCGAGGGTGCCCTCCCCCAGGATGCACAAAAGCATCCAACAAACACAAAGAACAATAGGGTACCCTCTCCGAACCGACCTTGATCTTATACCTCGGTCGGACCGTATGCCGTTTTTCCTCCTTCGGGTAAGCACTCTCCGTCAAAGACAACGACGGACCCAGCTGCGCCAGACGCTTCGATGAAGACGCCGTGCTCCTCCGAGAAGCTTACAAGGTCGCTCTGGGCAGAGAGGAACGCCTCCTTCAGGACAACCTCCCAATCCCCTCCGAAGCAGGGACTCGAGGCGATGAAAAATGGCAGCGTCTGGACCAGTCGGAAAGACACGAGGTGACCGAAAGGCCCGTGCCCGTCGCAGACGCCAAATATGCCGACGTTGCCGGTGTGCACTATGAAGAAATTGTCCTGGTTGGGCGTCGGATCCGACACTGACTTTTGCCCCTTCTGGCACGTGACCGCGGCGTGCGTGGGTCCGCTCAGCCACGACGGCCCGCTCCAGGAGTACAGGTCGTCCAAGCCGTCGGTGGTACAACTGGCGCTCGTCATCATGATGAGCGACTTGGCGACCGTGAACTTCTCGCCAGGCCTGACTGGGGACGTCAACTGAGCGACGAAAGAAGCAGGTCTTAAAACGCAAGAAGACACCACGACCTTCCACCGCGGCATGCGCGGGCCGCAGGCGTCGCACGCCGCCTGGAGAACAGGGCGCTCACGCGCGGCTTCACGCGGGAATCTTGCGCGCGCGAATGTCCGCGAAGTCGGCCCCGTGTTCGTCCATCGCTCAGCCGACCACTCTGCGCCACCCTGCCTGGGCACTCCGCAGCGCGGGGACCTTGACTGATGCGGGAAGCTGGCCCCTGCCCGCCGGCTCGCGAACACGGCGCTCTCCCGCCGCCCTCCCCCGCCGCCCTCCCGCGCGGCGCGGAAACACTCGTCGCGTTGCTGGGCACCCGTCTCGGCGGCGCTGGGCCGCATCATCGATCCCGCCCATCGGGGGCCCCGGATCTCTGAGGAGAGAAAGAAACACACAGACACAATTAATCGTCGACTCCCAGGAAAATACGGGAAAATATGGGAAGTGTGGGGGAAGACAAAAACCCAGAAAATATGCGAAAATATGAAGGATCCTGTTATTTGTGTGTATTTATTTGTGTCCCAGGGCCCCTTCAATCTCGGAGGGCCAGGAGAGACAACGGCGGTCCTCCCGCCCGGCCCAGATCCGCTCGAAGTCGGCCCTTGACCCCCTCCCCGGGGTCCAGGGTCCATGCCGACCCGCAGGGAGAAGGAGGCGCACCACCACCAGCTCCGCCTGGAGGATGGAGGCCGAGGGTGGTCAGGAGCGGTGATGGCGCATGTCGTTGCGGGCACTTTTGCGGGAAACCATGCACACCCGCATCCCGCGCACCAGCTCCTCCTGAGTCACCGTAGATGGTGGTGGTTCGCTTCCTGCGCCCAAACGTTGTTCGAGGCCCATCCAGTGGCGGCGCCGAGATACCTCCAGGAGGCCCAGAACAGATGTTTCAAAGCAGTAGAGGGCTGGCCGCCGTTGATCCGACTGGCCCCCCTCCGAGGTTCGGCGAATACGCCCTCCTGCCTCGGCCAGACAAGCACACGCAGCAGGTTCATGTCGTCACGACCGCGGCGTTGGTTTGTGACACCGCAGGGATCGTTCGTCCTGGAACGATCAGCGGCCTTTCGATCGCCGAATCGTTCCATATTGTTGGCCGGCTCTGGGCCACCGGCAGGGCTCAACCGTGAACGCCCGCGGCGGCGCCGCCGCTGCGGCGACACGACGCAAGCCTGTCACATACACCGACAGTGGGCCCACGAAAGGCCTGGTCAGAAGCGGTGAAAGGTTGTCGAATGGCGCCCCGCCCTGGAGGCAGCCACATGCGAGCCCTACCCTCCTAAGGGGAAGACGCCATGCTGGGGGTCAAATGTTGAAGGAGTTTTGCAGCCAGGTGACACCCAGCGGGGGTGCCTCACAAGACCGAGAAAAACCTGGCGGCGTCCGAATATGCCAATATACATATGTGTACATATAGATATGCGTATGTGCACATAGTATGTGAATACAAACACACATACATACATACATACATACATACATGCATACATACATGCATGAATGCATGCATGCATGCATGCATTCATGCATGCATGCATGCAGACAGACAGACAGACACACCGACAGACAGACAGACAGACAAACAGACAGACAGGTAGACAGACAGGCAGGCATGCATGCATACATACACGTACATTCATAAGACCATTCATACATACAGACAGACTGGCATGCCTACATACATGCATACATACATACATCCTCGACCCCGCTCTCTTTCCAGGCCGGCATCTCGACAGTGTCTGTTCGCAGGCGTTGTCCAGCCAGAGTGCACAAGCCATCCACGTCGAGCTGAGACGCGGGAGGCCAAGACAAACAGAAGCGACCTCCAGCGACAGACGGAACATCTCTATACAAGGCTCAAGGGTTGGTGGGCTGGGTTGAGCCCAAAAACCCACGGACGCGATCTAACATCGACGGCCTGGACCCGCGACGGGATGAGGAAGCACATGCGCATAGGATATCCTCGACCCCCCTCCCTTTCCAGGCCAGCATCTCGACAGTGTCTGTTCGCAGGCGTTGACCAGCCAGAGTGCACAAGCCATCCGCGTCGAGCTGAGACGCGGGAGGCCAGGACAAACATAAGCGACCTCGAAACATCTCGTCGGAGATCTGACTGGCCACTAGGCCGCTAATCGCACCAAGGCTTGGTGCGTGGATGACAATCTGGCTTCACGATCGGCTCTAGCAAGGGCACTGGACAATCTGGGCGGGCATGGTTCGGCTAGCTTCGTCGATAGACGGCGTCTTGCCCTCCGGAGCTCGGTGTGGTCGATGTGAAAAAGAACAGAGGCCACGGCCTGTACACTTGCGCTTGCTGATCGCGTCCAAATTTAGATGATCATATGCCACGCGGGTCCTCTTCCTCCAGGCGGCGCCGAAGGCACAGAAGTCAAACTCTACAAACTGCACCCCTGGCTGACGAGCAGCGTGCTGGGCCCAGCGAGTCTGCCAGACCCAGGACGTGGATGGGCTCTCGATCGCGGCGGGGACTCCTTGCACACTCCAGGAAGAAGCTGAACGAGAACTGCGAAAGCCGGTTGCCCGTCTCGACCTTGAGAGGGGTCACCAGACGACAGATCGGGCAGCTCGAGCACGCGGGTGGCGCCCCGCAAAGCTGGCGGCCCGTTGGGCCCGTTCCGTGCCCGTGACCACGAGCTGCAAGGCATCCCCAACCAGACGCCCTGCAGCAGGCCACCTCGGAGCCACCCGCGCAGGACGCGTTGGGCTCGCCGCCGGCTGAGGTCGCCGAGCATCGGCTCGCGGTCCACGTCCAGCTCGAAGACCCGCGGCGCCAATCGGGAAGCCGTGCTTCGCCGCAGCGCCAGGGGCCAGCTTCCAGAGCCACTGAATATCTCCAGGTACACCTTCGAGTCGGACAGATGGGCCCAGGACCTCAAGTCCTGCATAGGGCGCTCCCAATAGTCACGGCGCAACCGAAGGCCTGAGACTGCAGAACGGGTCGCAGACGCTGCAGCTGTTCCTGAACTCGACCACGACCACCTTACGCGCATCGCTTGAGGCGCCTGTCGGCCTCCCAGCGCCCGCGCTTCTTGATGTCGCCGAACTCCCTGGCGTTCGTCAGCATCTCGTGGCTACCCCCCCCCCGCGGCGCAGTCGGCACAGCACCGGGGGGCCGAGGGCGTCTAGCCCGAGGGCGGCGCTCGCTTGCGCTCGCATGCTGGAACGTCCGCGCCCACGACCTCATGTCCACGGTGAACAGGGGCGCGTCGACCGCACGCCCCCTCACGAGGCGATCAAGCATCTGGTCGACCCAACTGAACTCCGGATTGCCCAGCAGGTTGCTGATGTCGTAGTCCTCGGTCTTCGACCTTGCCTCGAGCTCCGCGGGGGACAGCAGGATCGAGCGCTTGCTCAGATGCCGCGGACCGGACCTGATCGGCCGCACGACCGACTTGACACGCAGCGACAGCGTCTCCGACGGCCGCAGGTAGAGGGCGAAGGTCAGCACGGTCGCCCGGGCTGCGGCTAGGAAGCCGTTCGCCGCAATCCAGTCGGCCAGCAGGGCCACGACCGGCCACGGCAGGGGCAGGCGGGCGCGAGGAGGCGCCAGAGTCTTCCAGCCCTTCAGCGCCCTCAGCACCCGCGGCAGGTTGGCGGCTATACGGCGCCAGGTCCAGCTGGAAGTGCGCCACCGCCGCCGCCAGCTTCGGCCCGTCCGGCGAGTCGTGCCCGTCGAAGTACAGCTGGTTGAAGTACTCCAGGAGCGCCTCCTCCAGGCCCGGGACGGTCGTCACCGACAGGCCCGCATTCGCCGACCTAGCCAGGAAAGCTTGGTATCGGATCTGGTAGTCCAGAGCGGTCCTGTCCCCAACGGCCTTCAGCTCGAGGAACGACCGCTGGTTCCGACCCCGCCAGCTCACGCCCTGGGGATGCCTCGCCCGCCGGCGGTTCGCCCGCGCAGGGCGGGCGGTCTAGCGGATGGGCTGCCAGCTCGCGCGGCCCCGCCGAGCACGCTGCCGCCGTTGCAGAGGCTCGCCCAGTCGGGGCGCCAGCACCTCCTCTTCGAGGCCAGGCGGGGGCCCGCTGTAGGCTGTCGGGCCAGCCCTCGCCAGCAAGCCCACCGTGCTCACGCCCAGGGCCGGGGCGGCCAGCGGCGGCGCTGGGGCCGCAAGGGCCCGCCGCCGCTGCAGCATAGCCCACGCCCGGCAGGTTCCTGGAGGCGCGGTCGGCCGCGTTCCTCTCCGAGGGGACCCAGCGCCAGAAGAAGGCCGCACCGCTAGCCAGCGAAAGGGCCGCCAGCTGCCGGCGCACGCGGCCCATCTCCCGCCGCAACGAGCGCCCCTTTGCGGCGGCCAGGATGGCCCCCAAACAGTCGCCCAAGCAGAGATGGCATCGATTGAACGAGGAGACGCGTCGGAGAACATGACGGACGGCCACGACCATGCCCCAGGCCTCCAGGACAACCTGGTGCTCTGAACGACTCCAGCGATGGGATACCACCGGGGCCCAGCCTTTCGCCCAGACGTCGTGCGGGATTTCGGGGAACTCCTCATCCTCCTCGATGCCACCGAACATCTCCTCCTCCACGAGCTCCCCCTCCACCGCGGACTCCTCGACGGGCTTCTCTATGGGCACCTCCAGAGGCCCCTTGATCGGGGCCTTCGGGCCCGCGAAGCTGTCGACGCCGACGACCGGCCCTGGGACGAAGGGGTTAGCGGAGGTCGCCGACTTGAAGGCGTGGGACCTATGTGCAACCTCGCGCTCCTGATGAGCACTGAATCTCCATCTCCCATTGCACTTGGAGAGCTCAAGAGCAACGCGGGCAGACGACTTCTGCGTGACCCCAACCCCCCACCCCGATGAGTCCACCATCGTGAGCGCGCTGTTGAACGCCGCGCCGGCGTCCGAAAACAAAACACGACGAGGCTGGCGCGCCATCGAAGCTCGCGGAGGCAGGGGGGCCACAGCCGCGCCGCGCGGCCTCCGTACTGGGCAGATAAAGCGCACAGCGAGTTGAGAGCAGACAAAAACTCGCGGCGAATCAGCCCCCGCGAGGTGAAGCGGGACACCACGCGCGAGATCGCATTGCCCGAGGCATAGCCCCTCCGGCACAGCTCCAAGAAAGCGAGCCGCAGCTTCCACCGGAGCGCTGGGTTCAGCCCGACGATCGGGAACTTCTCGTCGAACTGCCAGCCCAACGCCACGGCGCAAAAACAAGACTCAACTCCGTGGGTAGGCAGCCCAGCCGCACGAAGATGCGAGTCCACGGCCGACGCGGCGGCGATCGCCGTCTCCGAGTTGGTGGAGAGGCTGATCGCATTGTCCACGTACTCGGTGTGAATCACGGCCTCGGACACCTGCGCCACAGGCCGGCGGTCCACGAAGCGGCTCGCGAGGGAGAGCTGGGGCACCTTCAGGGCCATCCCCTCCAAAATCGCCTGGCAGATCCACAGGCTGAAAGAGCAGCCCATCGGGGGGCACCTGAAGCACGGGTAGACCAGCTCGCCCCTGCCAGGCGCCGCCCGTCCTCGGTGCTCTCGAGCCCCAGCATCCCAGCACGGCAGCCAGGTAGCGCGAAGTATATCCTGAACTTCGGCGGCAGCGGCATCGTGTAGAACGCATCCGCCAGGTCGACCTCCGCCACCGCAAGGGGCTTGCCCCCGCCCACGTGGAGGCCGGCGAAGGTCGCCCCCGACGCGAGAGCGACCGTGTTGGGGACCTGGAAGTGCAGGGAGGCGTGCCTGCCGTCCAGGATGAGCCGCAGCTTACCCGATTTCCTGTAAACGAAAAAGGCACCTACGCTACAACACTTGTCGTCGTAAACATCGATAAGTTTCCCGCGCTCGGGGGTCCGCAGCAGCTGGGCGCACAGCTCGGGGTTCCTCAGCGCCGGGTCGGCGCAGAGCTTCCGGGGGCCCTCAGACTCGATCCGAGCACGACCCTCAGACTGGGACAACATCATATCATGAAGCCGCTCGACTATCTCACGGTCAGCACCTCCTCCCAGCGCGTCAAGCGGCACGAGCTTGAAACCCTCGTCCGGGAGCGAGAGGCCGTTGATATTATCAAAGTCGAGCGGAGCGACGGTGGCGCTCTCGCCAGCATAGTCGCTAAGAACTCGGACCTCCTCAAGGGCCCCTGAGCCAGCCAATTCCACGGGGGGCGTGCCAAACCGTCGGACTGCGTCGCGCGCGTTGTCCAAGGCCCGCTGCTGACCCGCAGTGATAGACTGAGGATGGCTGCCGGGGTGCTCAGGCTGGCCAAGGCACAGCTCGTTGAGGGCCCGAACGATCTCGCCCCCCATCGAGTTGGCGTGGCCCAGGCGGAGAACCCGACGCGCCACCGAGCGTGAATAAGTGATGCAGTGCGCCTCTGAAGCTGCCCGATGCTGTTGACCAGGCTCTGGCAGTGGAAATAGATCACGCTGTCGCCCAGCACGATCGCCCGAGAAGTACCTCTCACCAGCGGGCGGCGGGCCACCGCCGCTGGGCACCCCTCCGAAAACACGCGCACTGCTGGGGGGTAGCGGCACGCGTGGTCGCGAGCTCGTCATGATCGCAAGGCCCGCTGCTCCTCGCGGGCCTTGCGAACCTGCTTCAGCACCGAAGCATCCCTCTCCACCTCCTTTGCCACGTGCTCGAGGAGCAGTGGGCGGATCATGCTCTCCCCATGGTCTCGACTGAGACCTGTGAAGACGGCGCTCTCATCGATGAACCCGAAGCTCAGCAGGCCGCGGTGTCCGCCGCCGCGCCCCCAGCCTCGGTTCTTCTTCTTCTGGTCGCCGCCCTCGCCGCCCCCGTCTCCGCAGGAGGAAGCACTTTGGTGAGGGTCTCGACCCATGACGTACACGTACTCATACATCTGGCACTTCCTGAGGATCTGCTCCGCCCCCGCCAGGTTCGGCAGGTCGAGGCCGCCCCAGCAGGCGAGGGTGTAGATGGCCCGCGCACTCGCCTTGTAGTCGCTGACCCCGTAGTCCTCGGTCGGCAGCCCCAAGGTGGACTTCCAGAACCTGAAATGATCAAGCGGGCCACCCTGACGTCTGTCTATGCTCTTGCAGCAACAGAAGCACGTGCGTGGGCCTGGAATGCACCAATCCACGAATGACTCCTCCGTGAAGGTGGCCACCGCGTCACGCCACTGCCTAAGGAGCCTGCCGCCAGGAGCCGCTGGGTTCGCGACGATGCTCATCAGTCTGGCGTCCGAGGCGGCCCCCCGACCAGCGTAGGTCTGCGCGGGCTCGGATATCGAACGGATCGCCACCAACGTCCCGTCAGCGTGAGGCATCAAGCCGGCGGCCCCGCGGAAGTCCGAGCCGGCGGGCGGAATCACCACCGCCCCTCGCCGGCCCGCCGTCGTCGACTCGACCAGCACCCAGACCGCCGCCTCAGCCACCGGGGCCGCAGCCCCCGGCCCTGCCGCAGCCGCGCCGCCCGGCGCCGCTCCTCCCGCAGGGGGAGGCGCAGCCGCCGCGCCGGCAAGCATCGCCGCTGGGGCGGCCAGCGCAGCGGCGACCAGGGGTGCGGCGCCCGCGGCGGCCGGCGCGGCGCCCGCGGCTGGGCCACCATCCCCAGCTGGGCCGAAGGTCAGCGGCACCAGGAACGGCCCGCCGGGAACAGGCAGCCGCAGGCGCTGGTGGTCGGCGGTCAGCGCTGCCCTACAATAGTCCAACGCGGTCTGGTCGATCTGCTGCATCTCCACCGCCGTGAGGTCCCGCCTGAACTGGTACAAGTTGGCCGCACCGACGCCAGGCGGGAAGGTCGCCCGATCTGATGTGAACCTCACGGCGATGATATCTTTCCCCTGGCACGAATAGTCCTCTTCATAGATGTCGGTGTCGACCGTACATATCAGCACCATCCAGTCAGTGACTCTCTCCATTGGCGTCCGGACCCGACGCCCTAAGATCAGCCGCTGGTGCCACAATGGCTCGCCTTCGTAGCGGGCGGACCCACGCCCACTGGAGCATGCCATGGGGCGCTGCCTCCGCTGGACCCACGTTCTGCACGGCCGGCAGCAAGTCACTCCGAGACGGCTCCACGATAGGAAGGCGTAGCTCAGCACCAGACCCAGCAAGAGGAGCTCGTTCAGCAGCACCACGTTCCAGAAAGAGGAAGACGGCCTCGACTCGCCGCCGCCCTCACCGTTCGCCGAAGGCGTGGCGGGAGCGGGGGAGCCCCCCGGGCACGCTGGGTAGCCAGGGCACGGCGGGCACACACAGCTCGGTATGGCAGGAGAGGCTGGGACGTGAACAGACGGGCACCTCTGCAGGTTTCCGCCCAAAAGATATGCAAGCGCTCCCTGACAAGCGTACTGGGCGGCAGGGAGCAGGTAATCCATTCGCACTGCCTTGGTACGAATTCTTGAGCCCAAAAACCCACGGAAGCGATCTAAAATCGACGGCCTGGACCCGTGACGGGATGAGGAAAGACATGCACGCATATGATATACATGCATGCATAGGATGCATGCATGCACCTTCACATACACATGTACATGCACATACACCTACATTCACCTACACGCGCACAGGCATATGTCTACATACGTACATACAAACACACATGCACCTCTATAATCAGACCAGCGTCCATGCATACATGCATGCATACATATGCACATGCGCACCTGCATATCTGCATGCATAAATGCATGTATGCATGCATGCATACATACACAGTACACACATAATTACATGTATACACGCACGCACGCATACCTGTATGGCTACGTGTATGTCTATATACGCATGCATACAAGCATGCATACAACGTACATGCATGCATGCATACATGCATGCATACGTACAGACATACATACGTTCGTGCGTACATGCATACGTACATGCACACCAACCTACCTGCCGACCTGCCGAGCTACCTACCGACCGACCTACCTAATTGCCTAGCTACATGCATGTAAATACATACATGCATTTAGATATGTGTATATAGATATATATATATATATATATATATATATATATGCATGGATGAGAACCACGCGCGCGCTCCGCGCTCGCTCAGGTTCTAGTCAGACCTGATCCAGGGCTGCCCGCCACCACGGCCAATCTCAGGACGGCTGTACCTCTAAAGAGCCCCGTCGTCACCGCGAAATCAGCTTCCACTGCTTCCGTCGCCATCATTGGTCTGAACCACGAGCTCGTCGCACCAACTTAGGTTTTGGCGCAAACGTTTTCCGATCGCAATATCGATTCCGGACGACCGCGACAACGACGACGACGACGACGACGACGACGACGACGACGACGGCAGCCTCGACGACGATGACGGAGACGACAGCGACGACTTCGACGATGATGACGACGACGAACGACCACGAAGATGGCGACGACGACAATCATGTCCAAACGATGGTTCAGAACCGAAACGACCGGCCCGAACCGAACTGGGCCAAGCCGATGCGGTGCGAACTGGTCTCTGTCGCAAATCGAACTGAATCGAACCGAACCGAACAGGTCGCTTCCGACTCTAAAACGGAACCAAACCGAGCGGGCTTCGAATTTGACCCTGAAACCGGGCCGAATCGCCGTCCCCAACGATACTGAACCGGACCGCGAATACGACGAGTGCGACGACGCGCAAGACGAGTGCGACGACGGATGCGACGCGGGCGGCGGGCAGCACGAGTCAGACGAGCACGACGAGCACCTCTGAATACGACGAGCGCGATCTGAGCCCAAGGCCCTCCCTCGTCGTCGGTCACCTTCGGGTGCCTCTCTCGTGTGGTACCCTCCTCCACCCTCCGTCCCCCCTCCCCATCCCCCACCCCCTCCTCCAGTACGAACGAACAATCTGCACGGTCGCCAGGCTGCCCCAGGGTATGGCCCCTAGGAATCCCCAGGCCCAGGACCCCGACCTGGGAGATTGTGGGGGCCACACTGGGGCACAAGATCCGACGCCGTTTGGGAGGGCTCTCAATCCGTTTTGGGGTGGTCTTGGAGCCCCGTTGGGGTTCCCTTGGGGAGACCTCTTGGGGCATCTATGAGCGATTTTAGAAGCCCCCTGTGGCCGCCCTGGGGCTGTTCCGTGCCGTCTTCGGGAGCTGTGGGCGCCCGTGGGCTCTCTTTGGGGGAGTCTGGGGGCCTCCTTGGGGCTGCCCCGGGGGGGTCTGCCGGAGCCTTGCTGGGCCGTCTTGGGGCACTCCTGGGCCGTCTTCGGGCTCTCTCGGGGGTTTCGTGGGCTGTTTTGCAGCGGTTCTGGCGGCATCTGGTGTGTCCGGGGGATTCCTTTGGGCTCCCCTGAGACCTTGCTGGGGCCTTCCTGGGCCGTCTTTGGCCCTCTTGGGCCTTCGTGGGCCGTCTTCGGACTCTCTTGGGAGCTTCTTGGACTGTCGTGGGGCAGTCTTGGCGGCGTCTGGGATCGTGGTGCACGCTGGGGCAGCCCGCCACTTGTAGATCTTGAAAACGCATGCTTTCTCGAAAGGGGTGAGAAGATTTCAGCCTCCCTGGGCCCGGTGGGGGGCCATCTTGGAGCCCTCGTGAATGTTTTGGGAGCCTCGTGGGCCTTCTGGAAGGGGTCTCGATTTGTCCGGGAGCCTGTGGGGGCTTCTTGGAGGCGTCTTGGGGACGGCCTGCGGCGTCTTGGAGGCCTCGTGAGGGCTTCGCGGGGCCCGATACCCCCATGCGCCGCGGAGGTCCCTGGGCGCCTGGGCGCGGCCAGGGGGCCTCGTCTCCCGGGATGTATGTATGTATGTGTACATATACACATACACACACACATACATACATACATACATACATACATACATACATACATACATACATACATACATACATACATACATACATACATACATACATACATACATACATGCATACCTACCTACCTACCTACCTACCTACCTACCTACCTACCTACCTACCTACCTACCTACCTACCTACCTACCTACCTATACACAGACAGACAGACAGACAGACAGACAGACAGACAGACAGACAGACAGACAGACAGACAGACAGACAGGCATGCATGCACACATACATATCAGAGTGGTGCATACGTCTGTGAATCTGTTTACATGAACATGTATGCATGCATGTACATATATATATATATACAGATGCATATATATATATATAGCTATGCATCCACACATATGTATCCATACATCTGTATATACAACTATGGATTTGCATGTGTATATAAATGCGCATACAGTGGTCCCTCGATGTATACATATATGTGTATATATATGTGTGTATATATATATGTATGCGCAAATACTCTGGGGGGGGGCTCTCGATCCGTTTACTTCGAGCGCGTCCTGTGTAATGGCGATGCTGTTCCCACCCCCACCCCCCCCGAGACTCTGAACGCGCTAGCCAAACTACCTGCCACAAGTGCAGCACAACGCGACCGCGCATGAAAGAACAGCAGCTTCTATGAAGAACCGACCACCTAAAGACACAGGACAAAACTTACAACTGTAAAAAACAGTCGCGCGTCGATTTCAGAGCCGGCAATGCTCCTTATATCGGCGCTTTCTCCTCACCTCCTGGCCAGTCAACAGCATATAACAATGGTGAGTGCACCCCCCGCAGCCATGATTTCCACCCACACACGTTACATTCCAAACATGATTCGATGTAAGAGCGCGTGCGCGGTCGATGTTTGCCTTGGACCACGATGCCCCAGCGTCCATCGGGCACGCAGGCGTAGGGCTTAGAACACGACAGTCTCAGCCCGACACGTTATAAGAGCATCTCGTGCAAACCACAAAAAGGTTCTTAGAACATTCTTGGGTAGGCCTGTAGGCAAGCCAGGGCGCTTCGCCCCTGCTTGATAAGGGGGCGGCTGGCGCCCCCCCCCCTGGCCTGAGGCCCCCGAACAGCTGGAGGTCCCCGCCGGGCAGGGCAAACGTGCCGCAGGCTGGCAGCGCGCACCAGCGGGGTGGCACCAGGGGGAGCGGCCATCCTAAGAAAGGCGGGGGCGGAGCTTCCAACCCAAATCTCCGACGACGTGACTTCGCCCAGCGTCTCTGACCCAAATCTTCTTCAAGCCAGGCATCTCTCCTCGACTCTGGCCTCGTGGCCCGTTTTCGGGACCCGGGACCGTCTACGCGGATGCGGAGCGAAAAGCTGCCCCTGTGGGCGGGAGCGGGACCCCTGGGGCCGCGCATTGGAAATCACGTCGTCGGACGTCTGCCAAGAAGGCGGGGGAAGATTTTCAGAAGACAGGGGGTGCTTCTCAGGAGGCCTCCCAGCTTCTGGGAGGCCTTATCAGAAGACTCTGGAACTTTTGGGCCCCCGCCGTCTGAGACTTCCGGTACATGCAATGCCGGGTGGCGGCCCGTCTTCTCATCACACCATCAGACCCATCGGTCGGAAGAAGCAGGTAGAAACACGGAGTAGGAAGGCGTTGAAAACAGACTGGGTTCCGCCCGCCCCCAGAAGAGGACGGAAAAGGTGAAGCCACTCGATCATTGAAGTAGGAAGGCGTCAAGTAGATTGGAACCTGGAAATCCCAAGACACCCACTTTCCACGACCGATGAGCAGGGGGGTACAAAGTCCCTGAAGGCGTGACGGGTTGGGCACGAGCGGGCATCGTGGCCGGCTCAAAGTCAGAAAAGAGGCACCGCAGCCCCATCGTCCATCTTATCATTGACTTCGCTCCACTACAGGGGGATTTTGGAGTAAAAATTCGCCATCTCCGGTAACTGGTTAACAATTCTCTAGTTCGCGCGCGCGGGGCCGCCCCTGGGGGTCCCCGGACGAAAAGTACCCCGGGCGATCCCCGACCGATCCCCGGGAGACTCCCCCAGAGGGCTCCAGGAGCGCTCCATGAGCGCACCAACAGGGCTCCGAGACGTCCCCGAGAGCCCCAAGAAAGGCCAAGAGGCCCCCAAGAGGCCCCCAAG